AGGGCTTAGGGTTTAGGGTTGTTCTTATTTAGGGCTTAGGGTTTAGGGTTGTTCTTGTTTAGGGTTTAGGGTTTAGGGTTTAGGGTTTAGGGTTTAGGGTTTAGGGTTTAGGGTTTAGGGCTTAGGGTTTAGGGTTTAGGTTGTTAAAGAATGGGGGCCCAGGGGCTTTGGGGTTTTAAGGTTTGTACTGTAAAGGGGCTCTGTGAAGCGGGCATAAGGCTTAAGGGCTTTCTGGGAGTTGTCGGGATTCCCTGGGTTGGTGTTGTTGTGTTTAGGGTTTAGGGTTTAGGGTTTAGGGTTTAGGGTTTAGGGTTTAGGGTTTAGGGTTTAGGGTTTAGGGTTTTTGTATGGGCTCGGTTGAGGTTTTATAGGGCTGTAGGGGTTCTTGATAGTGGTTTGAGGGACGTACTTGAAGTTTACCATAGTTGCAACAGATGCAGTCTAGGGATCAGGAACTTGCAACTCAAGTTGACATCAAAGGACGGTGAATATTAAGGTCGTTTACGTTCTACAGGACTTATTTTGGGATACTCTGCTTTCCTGCATGTCCATATAGCAACTCACATGAAGTTCCTCAACTTGCCAACACGGTCCTCTAAGATCTCACGGACGTTGTCCTGCATCAGAAAGACGCGTTTGGCGCCCAATCCCTCCAGCTTCTGCTTGATCCACTCTTCACCACTGTGCTTCCTCACCACGGCCAGGACCGTGAAGCCTTTGGCTGTGAGCAGCTGAATCAGCACCTGCAAGTGTGCAGACGAGTCTTGTTGCGAAGCTGCTACGGGCACTTGCAAGATGCAAGCCCTCTGCTCTGCACCCCAAGCTCGCCTGCCCAATCAAACCTCAGAGCGGCAGTGAAGAACAGAAGGCACAGTGAAGGCATTCGGTGCTTGGCTTCTACCAGGGAACCATTTGCACAGTTCAGTATGACCGTCTCACCAGCGGACAATTTGCTCGCATGTTCCTGTCCCACATTCAGAGGAAGACTCGCACATCGAATGCTCAAAGCCTGAGCCTCTAACAGTGGAGCTACAAACGCTTGAAAAATGGCGCGGTGTGTCCTCCACGAGCAGGCACGCGGCACCGATGGACTTAGCCAGTGCCTCAAGACGACCGATTTGCAGGGCCCTGGTGTGCTTCTTGCCATTTCGTCGAAGCTGCCATGTTAGCGATGCTGAGGGGCGAATCCTCAGCTGCGCGTGGAGCTCTGCAGCCCCTGGGTATGTGTAATCCGAAAGTGTTGGGCTTGAGGGAACTCTCCCGAGGCGAAGCAAATCGACAAAACCACCCACTCGGCCGAGGGTCTGCGGAGAACTCCAGCTTGGCGCACCTCTCTCTCACGACGCGGGTGCGTTTTGGGGGAAACACATCCATCACAGATGGCCTGCTCGCTTTCCAGACACCGAGCACGCGCCCTGTGCCGGGAGGCGCCGCATCCTCCCAGTCGCGGTAGCAGTATGCTGCCTATCTCCGACATCGATTCAGGTGCATGGCTCCAGATCGATGTCTCCATCGGCATCGACATCATGCAGCGGGAGAACCCAATCCCCTCCGTGCACATCACATGCGATCCATACACGAATTTTGCAAACTCCGCGAACGAGCCTGGCTTCAGGTTCGTGACACGTGGTCCGACCATCCGAATTTGGCCGATTCCTTGACACCCGTAGATGTCGCCACAACCGTACCTACCAAACACAGGGCGCACCGCTTTTCCCATTCCGTGTCAGTAGAATCAGTAGAACAACTTTGTTTCCAGCCTGTTCTCTGCATTGAGATCTGACATCCTGCAGTTTCAGTCAGTGTGTCTGGAGCACGGCAGATGCCCCCCAGCACTGCTCAGCCGAGATTCGTCAGCGGCACAGCGCGCATCTGCACCAGCACTTGCCCCTCTATGAGTCCTGAAGGCGCAAATGGCACAGGAGGGCCAACTGCTTGCAAAGACTTTGTACGGTCTATGAGAGGGACGAGTCTTCATCATGCTTTTGTCCAGCTGAGATGCGGGAGTTCTCGATCATAGGGTACGTGTCTACCTCGCATGCGCACGGGACCACGAATCCCTGAACCCATATGCAGCGCCTCCCAAAACGGAGAACCTCCAACCATAGCAGAACTCTGGGTCCCACACCAGTTTGAGCGTCCTCTTACCCTCCTGGAGACCGGGATGGTTTCAAGCGTATTTCTCGCATCCTTCGGTGAGTTCTGGGGGCGTCCCGGGCCTTCTCCGTCACGGTGATGTGCGCCACGGGCTGCTCGAAGTCCTCTACGACCGGCCTCATTCGCACGTCAACGGCGAAACAACTCCGACTCGGATCTCTGAAGGGACTTCTTCTTTTTAAGGGGCCTTAACCCTCAACCCTAAACCCTGGGCTGGGGCTTGCAGGGCTTCGGGCTTAGGATCAGCCCATGTCAGCCCCTCAAACCCCAAGGGGTGGCCTGAGCTTAAAGCCAAGACACACCGACTCCAGCGTGCGGCCCTCTATCAGTGCCTGGAGCGCTGGAGGCAGCTGCACCTCCCCGCAGCCGAGCACGGACACCGGCATGAAGCAAACCCCCAACGCCGAATCCCTAAAGACCCTGAAGGCCCTCAACCCTAATGACATCTAATAGCAATATAGTAGTTAGTAGTGATCCTGGTAATCCTGACCACCCCATCAACCCTGTCTCCTGGCCTTTTGGAGGTTCTTGCGGCTTTGCGCCTCTGGCTTTGCTGCCGGGGCCTGGCACCAAAAAACCACAAGGGTTCTTGTGCTTAAGGCTTCTACTCTCCGGCGCCGCACCTGCCGCGGAGCACCACACTCCTGGTCATGAAATTAGGGGTAACTCCTTCTCTCTCTTAACCTTTCAATCGCATCAAGAAACACCAGTCCTGGCAAAACTTGGCATTTGCCGGAAGCTCGCTGCCGCACTTCCAGCAGGTCAACACCTCTTCCTGTCAAGTAACAGCGCCAGGGTCCGGAACTCAGTGAGACACAGACTTGTTGCAATGATCCCAGCCTTCACAGGCGTGGCGTGCTCTGCGCGAGCTCGCTGCCCATTCCGGATCTGAGCAAAAATGCTACACAGTTTTTTTCCGCTGGTCCAGCATGTCCCAAGTGCAGACGGAACACATCTGCGGGCACATCTGTCTTCCCGGTCTCGTCGTAGCGCTGTCGCAATGCCACCTTAAGCAGAAGCTCTTCTGCGGAAGTGCGCGACAAGGACCATCCTTCTCCGTCGATCCCCTTGAAGCAAGGTGCATTGCACAGGATGACGTAGGCAGCCTGCAGCTCCGCGAACTCCTCTCGACCGCCACCTCGGGGGGCCCCCACTTTCTGACCGCACGGTTCGTGGACTCCCCTCAGGCAGCGGCCCTTGTCTGGATGGAGCTGCACGGCCAGTTTTCGGTAGGCGCCGCGAATCGCGGACAAGCTGGCATCCTGGGACCAAGCCATCAAGGCTCCCCAGGCTCACAGGAAAACCCGCCCACGGTGACTGAGGCCGCGTCCCTCGCCACGCCCAGCACCTCGTAGAGGTTCCGGCTGACGCCCGCGATGCCAGGAGCCACCATGGCGCCGGCTCAAGCTTGGAAACTAAATCTGAACGGAAGGGGCTGGGACTTCAGGCACCCCAAACCCTTCAAACTTGAGAGCCGGGGCTCTTCCGCCTCGTCTCCACCGGCTAAGAAGTGCAGGGTCTAGTAGGAGGCAGACTCGAGACTCTAGCTGGTAGAGGACAGTGAGTCCACAGCTGGAGGTCATGTACATGGTGCAGCTAGGGCAACAAAAAGAGCGCCGATGCGAAATCAAGCAAGAAGACTCCTTTCCGGAATTGAAGAGTAACTTTGTTGGCCGGTCGCACCGGATGCACTGCCACGCAGCATTCTTCAGGGCCGTAAGATCTTTGAACGCACCGTTCCTAGCACAGCAAAGGAGCACCGAGGAACACCATGAGGCTCACGGTGTTGCCCGACCTCGTCAAGTACGTACGGAGATCCTCAGCAGAGGAAGCTGCTTTGGCCGCGCACGAAACTCAAAAGTCGCTGAAAAGACGCACTCGGCTTCCAACCATGTCCATGAACTCAAAAACGAGGTAGCGAGCATGCTCTTTGGAAAGAACTTCATAGAGCCTCTTGGAGAGTGGGGATGATCAAGCAAAGCAAGCTGGTCCAGATCCAGACTTGTCAAGACTGTCTGCCTGATGACATTCGGATGGTCGCACTCTTTGAGTAGCGAGACCTGTCGAACAACTGCATCATCAGGCTCTCTCTCTCTCTCTCTCAGTCTCATCTCGCTGCTGAATGCACCCTTTTCCCTTCACCCAAACGCACTCTCTCTCTCTCTCTCTCGCTCCCTATCTCCCTCTCGGCCTCTGTTTCTTTCTCTGGCCCTGCGGGACGCCCCGTTGTTCGGGGTCTCAGGGCTTGGAGTGCAGGTTGCCTGGTCTTGTCTCGGGCACACCAAAACACAAAACTCGTGTAGAGCTGAGCACACACACACACAAAAAAAAAATGCTTTCTGGGGTGGACTCGAAAAGAACGTGCCAAATGAGGGCATCGATGCTTCGATCGATGGTGGGGCTCAGCGAGCACAAGGTGAGAATTCAGTCGAGTCCCGGCGGTGTGCTTTTAAGATCTCATGCTGTCTGCGAGGATTACCTCTGCTTCTCTTTTTTCCTTCCTTCCGTTGGGTTCAGGTCCTCAAAGCGAACCCGCGCCGAGGCGCCACCCTCCCTCAAGCGTTTGTGGGGAAGAGGCTTTGGGCGTCCTCTTCATTCTGTGCGGCTGGTGGCGAAAGGCGCTAGTTCTCTATTCCTTCCGCTCTTTCTTTCGTCAGGGTTCGGGTGTAGAGGGTAGAGGGTTTAGGGTGTAGGGTTTAGGGTTTACGGTCTCTCTCTCTCTCTCTCCGGAGGGCCGTGCCTCCCTGATGGTGGCCGCGGGGACCTTGGCTTCGGCTTCCTAGGCCGCGACGGATGCAGCGGAGCCTTGTAAGAACCTGACACCATACTCGCTCTGCTGGATGGGAATCCTTTTGAGAGCGAAGACCTGGCGCCAAGAAGCACCAGAGACTGTCTAGGAAGTTGCCCGTCCGTTCTTGCAATGCGACCCTTGGGTGCGGTGCCTCATTGGTAGTGCGGCTTATTGCCTTGTACACCTGAGACAGCTGATGTTGACCTGCATGTGCGAAGCACGTCAAATGCGGCCTTGCCATAGGTCCCTTCGCCCAACTTCTGCACAATGCGGAAGTGCTCGCTGACCTGCGCCGTCCAGTCCCTTTTCAGCCTCTAGGTGGCAGTGCATTGGGATCGTACAATTCTCCCTTTCCCCTTTGTGGTGTCTAAGACTCTTTCCTTACTCCTTCCTTTCATCCCTGCTGGGCTCGCAGCCAACCCCTCCGACGCTGCCTGTACAATCTCAGCACTACGGCTCCCGAGCTATCTGACAGAGACATTCGGGTGCTCGTCACCCCCCGCCCAACCCGACCCGCTGGACTCTTCCTGCAGAGAACTGTAATGCCGGATTGAAGCACCGAAGGAAAAAGCACTCACAACACTCGCGGCTCTCCTCTGATTTATCACCGGACCTCCGCAGCTTCGTCTGCATCAAATATGAGCATCCTCGGACGCCAGCGCTGCGTGCCATTACATCTCGTAGGAGGCTGGCAGAGACCCCCGGCCTAATCCGTTGCTCAACTTCGGACCTTGAAGATGCAGGCTGCAACACAAAAGATGTCACAGGATGCCTGCAGAGGCTCCGGCAAATCCATCGCGGATCATCGCCACCCAGAAACACCCAGAAGCCCCCAGAAGCCCCAAGGGCTCGCTGGAAATGGCAAAAAAACGTGCGGCACAAACTGGTCGAAAGCTGAAAAAAAGCACCCTAAAGGTGCCCGAAGCTCGCGGCTTTTCTTGGCCCTGGACGATTCGCGCTCCCTTTTGCTTTCTTTGTAAACGACTCGCTCTCGCGCTCTCGCCGCCGCTGCTTTGCAGCGCTGTCACGCTTCGAACCCTTCAGCTGAAGAGTTCCCCTTCCAACAACCCAGACGACCTCGAGCATGCAGATCAAATCATTTCAAGTACCAGTCCCGTGGACTCACCGACTAGTGCCCGTGTCCGTGCTTTTTTGGAATGCTGACTGCTTGTCAAGTCTGCAAGACGAGAGCTGAATACATTTCTTACACGCACCAGAACTCAACCGCTTGCAATACGTCACTGGCACAAAGAGGTGGGCGAACGAGGGGAAATGCCCTGGCAACGTTGGCCAGGAACGGACGAGTGTGGCACCTCAGTTGCACCCATCATCGTCCCATCATTCGCCAGAGGAGTCCTCGCTTCTTCTTCGCAGCTTGCGGACTGCCACTGAAGGACTCAAGGAAGGAAGCCACCTGGACATCACCTTGGCTCGTCTTCTGCGCGAGCCACATTGCCATCTGAATGTTGTTAGGAGGAACACCTGCGTTTGCCAGGGCCTCCATGAAGTCACCTGGCTCCAGGGTTCTTGACTCCGCCTCAATTACCTGATGGTGTAGGACCTGCCGGAGCGCATGGCCCGGGATCTGGCCCTGTGCCCACTCCACGTGGCTCCTCCAGATCCCCTGGCTCTGCACTTGCACCATGTTCGCGACCAGGGCCTCCACGCTGCCATGGCTCAGCAAAGCCACGGCTTCCCGTCTGGAGAGGCCCAGGGGGAGGGAAGCGATCACCGCCGCCAGGCTCGGGAGCTCTAAGCTTCCCCACAAAGCGAGCAGAGACGGCAGGCGGTCACACTGAAAGCCGTGGCTTTCCATCACCGCGGCCGTCCGGGCGCAGACCACCGAAATCTCCTCGGCCGAGGCGTCCGCCTCCACCGCGGGGGGCGGAAGCGCCCCACCGGGAACCCCCAAAGACCCCCCGGAGCCGCCAAAGCGCTCCGTGAACTCTTCGTAGTCGAGGAGTCCTCCGGAGTTCTTGTCCGCCAAGAGAATCAGGGACGTCAACTGGTCTGACCTCACTCAGGCAATCTAGGACAGCATCTATTCTAGAGAACCGCGCGGATGAACTGGGGAGACAGCGTGAGATATCTCTCCGTCTCCATGATCACACGCCTTCGAGAATGAACGCTTCCAGGAACTTCTCGTATGCTACGGAGCACGAAACAAATTGAACAAGGGGGCAAGCACTCCGATTGTTCGTCGGCTACTCTAAACTGTGCAAAACTTCAGACAACAAAACCACGGCGCATCGCAAGCGGCGGAGACAGCTTGAAAACATAGCACAAGAACCGCATGGACGTCCCTTTTGTCCCTATATCCTATATACCCTATTCTACAGTATACCCCAAACCCTGCCCCTTACTGTGCGGTGTAGTATACCCTGAAACCCTATTCTCACTACTTCGGCACATAGAAACAACTACACATACATATTCCATACTCACTCCAGACTCCTTAATCACATACACAACACATAATACATATATGACATATATATATATATATATGTATATATAATTATATATATATATGACACATATGCACATTACACTGTAATCTTCCGCTTTTCATGCAAAGATGATCCATGCTTTACTGTGGTCCTGAAGGCTCCCTCCGGTGCCAGCCGGGAACCGCCGGTGCAGCGTCGCTGCAACTCTGAGCCTCGGTTCTATCTATATAGATATCGTTTAGGGTTTAGGGTTTAGGGTTTAGGGTTTAGGGTTTAGGGTTTAGGTGAGTATGTACATAGAGTAGAAGCCATCAAGTTGGGACATTAAAACCCTCATGCGTCTTAAGGTAAAGTATACGGGATCCTAGCACAATTCCTAAGCCCATGTTCCAACTTTCTAGGCTTCGCTGTTCACAGTAGTTACATACACACATATGTATATGTGCGTGTACAAATGGGGTTCAGCATTGTAGGGCTCAGGGCCCAGGATACAGATATAGGTGCAGAGACAAAAGGAGAGAGGGAGAGAGAGAGTGAGAGATAGATATGTGTAGGTAGATAGACAGTTAGATGGACAGATAGATAGACGGGTGGGTAGGTAGATAGGTAGGTGAATAGATAGATAGATAGATAGATGGATAGATAGATGGATAGATAGATGGATGGATAAATAAATAGATGGATGGATGGATAGACAGACAGACAGACAGACGGACGGACGGACGGACGGACGGACAGACAGTCCTTTGATCGATGTACCTATTTCACCATTCCCTTCATTTGGTACCAGTAGTTGCTCATCGGGCTATTTATCTTCTTGTTTCTTCATATGGTACACGTGTATGTATAAGGGCTTCAGACTTGGGGTTGCTTTTTCTCGATGGTCCTTCATTAGGGTTTAGGGTTTAGGGTTTAGGGTTTAGGGTTTAGGGTTTATCTCCTGCTTCGCCAGAATACCACTACAGGAGTCAAGGTTGGCGGAATCGGCATCGGGGTTTGGGAATCATGGCGGCTGAGCATAGAACGGACAAGCCTCCAAGGACTTAGCGACTGAGAATGTCAAAAGGCGAGATGGGCTCTTTCTGAGGTTCTGACTGATGCGGTTGCACAGGCCCCTCTGGGTGATGGCAGCCTTGCTGCAGGTAAGGGCAAGCCACGCAGCATCTGCGCACGCCCCTCGTTTGAAACCCTCCAGCTCCAGGTATCTTGCAGAGATCCAGGTAGGAGGCTTGCAACAGTCTTCGGAGTTTGCCCGCGCGATGCCTGCCGGGCCGAGCACAAACAAAAAGTGCGTGATAGCTCGCATCTGCTTTTGCGCCCGCAGCAAGTCCGTTCAAGTTCCACGGATCTCGGGGGCGGCGGAAGCACCCTCAACTCAGCCCTCGCCGTCTACAAAGTAAGGCCTTGGGGCCCTTGGGTGGCTGTCCGGCAGAGGCTCTCTCTTCATGGGGACCTCTCCATGACATTGCTACTGTGAGACCCTGTCCATCGCAGCGTCTCGTCCTTCCACCTGCGGCGCGAACTCGAGCCTTCGGAGTCCGGATGAGAAAAACCGTCTGAGGTTTCAGGGATCAGAGCTCGTCCCGGCTTGACATCCTGTGCTTCCGGGCATGTGGAATGGCTGCAATGTTCACGGCAACATGTACCCAGCCCACACACGCCTGGGTCAGACATATTTGTCGTATCACACCATAACCACCAACGGTGCCTCGTTCTACCACAGTCGCACGTGCCATCTCTCCCGGGTTTTGCGGGCAGGGAAGGCGGAAAGTCCGCCGCCAACTGCCCGCCTGCGGCAAGGCTCTGTGGAGCGTCCATGCGACGTATCCATGAAGAGCACGGCTCCCTATAGCCGTACTCACATTCCCAAACTGCACCAATGCCATCGGAGCCCAGTCTTGCTGGGTTGAGGAGGCCTTCTCGGACTTCAAAGGCCAGAATCTCAAAGTTTGGCTCCAGCACTCGTGGAGTGGCTTACGAACTGTTGAGGCCCCATTTCCTCTGGTTTTCCAAGACCTGTCCACCGAGATGCCCTCGTCTTGCAAGAACCAGCGCGTGGGAGCTCCGTTGACCGCGCTTCGAACGGCCAAGGTGACGCTGGGGATCGACGTCCAGTCGCACGACACTCCCCTCCCGGCCCTGGCCCTGGTAGGGGCCGAGGACCCAAGGAGAGCTAGGCAACACGGCATCCAGGTCCGCAAGGAGGCCATGCTCTTGGAGGGAGAGGGGGGCAAGCGCTGGAGCATCACACATCAATGAAGCGTGCTCTGTGCTCTAAACCCTAAACCCTAAAGGTCACGGAAGACTCGGAAGGGAAAGCTCAAGCCTTGCTCCAGCGTGGCCAGCGCCACCTTGCCGGAGCCGTCTGCATCCACCTCGCCAGGTCTCGGACACTACCAGGGTTTAGGGTTTAGGGTTTAGGGTATGGGGTTCCCTTGAGGGTTCCTTTAAAGGTTTCTATAGGGTTTAGGGTTTAGGGGTAGTTATAATTGGGTTACCATGAGGGTTTGGGTTTAGGGTTTAGGGTCGCTGCCCATGGTTTCGGTAAGTTTGGACTCAAGCGGCATGACGGACGAAGTGGCCGCTATCCCGGCCTTCAGGAAGAGCTGTTGCATCTCAGCTCGCGAGGTTCCCAGGGGCAAAGTCGACCTGGAGACGGCGCCATCGCTTTCGGGCTCGCTGCAATGTAAAAGCTTTGTCTCAATTTCTTGCTCCCCCACGCCACATCCAGCCACTGCTCCGCGGTCAGCTCCCTCTCTCCGGGAAGGAGGAACCTCAGGTGAGAAAGGCTTTTCTGCTTTTCTTGCAAAAGCCGGCAGACTTTTCGTGCACCGTGCGCAGGGCAGCGCCAAGGCATCAGACAACGCCAAACCGGCTGCCTCCAGCCTTCAATGCTGCCGCAACTGAATCCATAATCGTACGGCTTCGAAGCAGGACAGACACTTCAAGCATTTCAGCACGCCACCTTCTGCGCAGTCTTCCAAAGATCAAGGCACAGCCTTGTGCCGAGAGAGACCTTCAGAGATCTTTCCAGCTGACATCAACTATACAAGCAGAGATGCTTGACAAAGATTCCAGCATTCGACCGGCATTCGTTCCTGTCCATGACGGATCAAGTGGCTGAAGGTTCCGTTTGCATGCCATCATGCGGCCTGCCTTGTAAAGCAGAGCTGGAAGTGCAAGTGAAAAACGTTTTCTCCTCAGCGCACTGAACCCCAGAAAAGGAAGAGTGGTTCTCCACGCCACCCTTTCCCGCAAACCTACAACCACCGAGCTGACGACAAAGTTGATTTCCACACTGCCGAGGGATCCTCCCAGGGTCCCTCCCAGGGTCGCCCCAAGCCTCAGCAAGTTCCAAGAACAAACCTGCAAAACCCCCCCCAAAAAAAAAAATCTCAGAGCCCTAAACCCGAAACGCTCGGAACCTTGAGTTCCTGAATTCCTGCACGTAGCTGCGTCAACGAAATCACCCCCAAGTCCCACCCTAAACTCTAAACCCTAAACTCTAAACCCTAAAACCCTAAAACCCTAAACCCTAAACCCTAAACCACCCCTTGAGTTCCGGACGGATCGGATGGCCCACCCACGCCAGGCAGCGGAGGCCTTCCAGTGCCCCCCCCCGACCCGATCCTGGGTTTAGGGTTTAGGGTTTAGGGTTTAGGGTTTAGGGTTTAGGGTTTAGGGTTTAGGGTTTAGGGTTTAGGGAGAAAACCCGATGCACACCAAACTTTAGGGTCTTAGGGGTTTAGGGGTTTAGGGGTTTAGGGTTTAGGATTTAGGGGTTTAGGGTTTCGACTTTAGGGTTTAGGGATTCTGCACAAAGCCTATTGAAACCAGAAATCTAACTGCAACCGCGAATCAACCCTCTTGAAAGCAACCATCCCAAACCCATTCCCTATAAGCTTAAAGCCCAATGAAACATGAAACCCGGGAGTCCACCGAGTAAGATTCCGGTCCAGAGTACAGCTTAGACAATCCTGCAGAACCCCGACATACAGTTTAGGGTTTAGGGTTTAGGGTTTAGGGTTTAGGGTAGCCCAAGCGAAGCCAAATCCCAAGGCCCTGGGCTTCCGACATCCCAGGCGGAGCTGGAGCTGTGGACATGCCTTTTCGCCGGGCCATCGGCATAGAAAAGCAAAGCACCGAAAAACGGGGCGTTTGGGGATTGGGGTTTCGGATTAGGGGAGTTCCGTGTTTAGCCCCTTGGGGTTGAAGCAGCTTTTTGTTCCAGAGGCTGGCTCTCCTCGCAGCTGTATTGTACTTCCGAGCTAAGCCGCCCCCACGCCCTCGTGGACACAAGGGGGTCTTGCTAGCAAAAACGAACCCGGCCATCTGAATGCCGCACACCCATGCAGCTGCGAGATTTCACCGTAGAGGCCGCGAAGTAGGTGTGTTCACGAGTGAAGTTTGCGATGTGACTCCTGTCATGATGGTTGGAATTTGAGCTATCAAGTGGAACAGTCAGCTGTTGCGTCGTGTGCAAATCGAGCTTACAGCGGAACGGACTGTGTCCTTCACATCCTGGGTGGACACTAGTTCCGCTGCCTGACTATGGTTTTACACGCATTCGGTGTTGTACTGCTCTCTGGGTGTAGGGACTGTTGCGCACTTTTCTACTTCCATTGAAGTGAACTTCCTAAACCTCACTGCACACTCTGCACCGGCCGCGTCGTGCAGTGTGCATTGACCTGCATTGCTGGTCTCCTAGCAATGCCTTAATGACACTGTGCAGGCTTGGTTGTCCCCCGAGCCAACAACTTGGGTATGTATTGCAGGAGCGGTACCTATGTTCAATGCGTGCAATCATCGCCCAATGAAACTCTCACATAGCCCTTCACCAAACATACTAAGGTACTATTCCCCATCATCTCAGCCTCCGTTGCCACAATTGAGCCCACGTGGCTACCGCTTCAGGAGTTTTGAATTTGTGGGCTGGGGTGCTGAATTAGGCCAGGGAAGACTCGCCTGGCAGCGGCGGCATTCCCGGCGGCCTGCAGCGCTGGGTTAGGCTGGCTGCATCAACATATCAACAAATCATGTCTGAGTCATGAGCACCAAGAACGGTGGACACATACATATGCGTCTATATACACATATGGTGTGTACTTGGCTCACATGCAAAGCAAACATGCATGTAGAAGCGCGGTCTATGCTAGCTGTACTGACTGCGTCTCTGCATATGAGGTGTATGAAGTAGACCGACAGTACGCTGTGTACTTGGTTCACGCATAAACACACATACATATAGAAGCAGGTCTGTGTTGACATCTGAGTACGTCTCTGCATGTGGTGCATGTCCTTAGTATCTCTACATAATAGCGCAAGTAGATAGACAGGTTAGGTTAGGTTAGGTTAGGTTAGGTTAGGTTAGGTGAAGCCAGGCCAGGTTAGGGTTGGTTGGGTTATGTCAGGTCAGGTCAGACTGGACGAGACTAAGATTTTGGATGACAAACTTAGTTGCAACATAGATAGATGGATGGATAGATAGATAGATAGATAGATAGACGGACTGATGGACAGATAAACCCGCGGATCAGGAAGTAGGCTACATTGATCGATGCATTCAGCGACCCAACCCAAACGCGCGTGTGTGCCTGCTTTCTCCCCCCCGTCAGTAACTCGAGAAGGATTTTGCAGGTGGCTTCAGGATTCCTGTTTCCTCCGTATGCACACACGTGTTTGAACCTAGCCCGCGATTGAAAGCGCGAGTGGCTTTAAAGCAGGGCGGCTATCCATGGCACGCGACATCAAATTAGTTCATCGATTAGAACCAACAAAAGTTAAAAGCAAAAAAAAAAAATGCAACAACACAGCAAAACTCCCCCTCCCTATAAAGGAAACAGTTAGGGATGACCTTGCCCATTTTCAACCGCTAGACCCCCCCCTACACTTCAAACCCCATTCCATAACTACACCCCAATTCAACCCTCCAATTTCACCCCAAAATCACCCTCATACACCCTTATCCAATAAAAAACACCTTCTCAACATCACACTTTTCACCCCTAAACCCCTTCAAAAACCCAACCTTAAGACCCCAATGCCTGTATCCTTCCAAAAAATCCACCTTAAGACCCAACCTTAACACCAAACCTCTCTCACACACCCTTATCTAAAAAAACCCTCTCTCAAACACTCGCCCCCTCAACGCCTCAACCCTTAATCCCTTCTAAAAACCCAACCTTAACCTCCGAAAATGGGCAAGGTTGTTCTCGTAGAAAAAATTATTTACATTAAAATTATACATTGTAAAAATATATAATTTTAGTGTAGTATTATTAAAGATTATTAAAGGTGGTCTTCTAATGTTTCAGTTTCAAACCTATCAATGTGTTTAAACACATGATCCCTAATTTCCTCTCTAGTAATATTAAAAGTCTGATTTACTAAATAATAAGCAAATATTTCTAAAATAATCTCTTTAACAATTACTTTCTTTTCTAAAGCAAAGCCATTGTGTATATGTGGCTTATTATATACTTCATAACGCCCAAATCTGGAATTATAGGGGAAATTTATGATAATACTGTGAAATATCTTATAAATCATTTTTAAATTACTAATTACATAAGATTCGGATTGTTTGATAACTTTAGTTTTACCAATTAAATAAGATTTCATGATATTTTTAAATGGGTGGTTAGTTCGTCTTATTATATTTTTAAATGTATGTTTTATATTTTTCTTGTATAATAGTTCGTTTAGTTTGATATCTTTACAAATATCTTCCTCGTCGTTGTATTCATAAACCATTGAATTATCAATAAATACTTTAATAATTTCAGCTACCTTATAATCTTTATCATATTTTATTGTTCGTTTATATAAACATTCCTTACATATGCCAGAATAATCATATAATTTACTACAAATATCTAACGGTATTTTTTCCTCTAAAACCTTACACCTATCTTTGATTTCCTCACATTTCCAGCAGTAATTAAACTTGAATATTCCACTATTCATACTAATAATATTATACTAAGTTAGTTTTTCTTTAAATGCTTTTTTCCTAAAAAAAATATTTCCAAAAAAATATAATATATAACTATAATATAATCATAATTTCTTATGAAATATAATTATATTATACTTA